CAAGGAAATATTTGAGACTAAATATTAATGTAAGATATACAATGTAACATGTATTAATTTTATTTATGTTGACAAATGTGTAATTATATTTGTATGTGAGAAGAAAAAAACATGAGCAATTAGAAATGAAAATCCCCTTCCAGCTGAATAGGTAAAACATTTTTATAATACTAAGTGAAAAATAAATTATGTACCAAGAATGTTCAAAGTACACAATCTCATAACAACAGATATACTTTTTTAAAAAAAGCAGTCCGTCATTAGGAATCCAGCTAGAAATTTAAGCTATCCTACCTTTGTAAAATAAGAGAAAAATCAACTCAATTTATAAAAGGAAATTGAATAATTATCCCTGAGTGAACATTGCTTGTAATCCTACTTTACAAAAACCAATCATTTACAATCGTTACAGTGAATTTGTGTGTGTGTGTCTGTGTCTAAGTGTCTGTGTGTAAGGATATATATTTGTCATACCATGAATACTAGTATCCCTTGGCAGAGAAAACTAAAACAACCAGTTCGCTAGGGATTAGAACAGAATGGAAAGTTTATAAGGGAATAGCACATATATGCATAAATTTTAGACCTGTGTTTGTGTATACTGCTGGGTTGACTTTTATAATAAAATAATTTAAATTAAATAAAACTAGAGAAAAATGTATATAAGCTTAAGGCTACCAGGTGATAAAAATTGTGTTTGCTAATGATATTACACTTTTGAATATAACAGTTTATAAATAGTAATTTTTAGAGATTATAATTGGAAACATATTTTAAAACTGTCAATAATAAAATCTTTTTTAAGTTTTACCACTGCCATAATTTTGCAATGATAGAAGCAAGCAAAAACAAAAAGAAACTGTGGAAAATAAATGTTGAAAATATGTTAGTTGTAAGTTAATTCTGATGGAGGAGTAGTCAGTTGTAGACGTTGGGAAGGATGTAAGAACCATAAAGGCTTTGTCAAATGTGCTCTTCCTCCAGGAAACTGGGGTATATAGTGCTCTGATGTATTGATGACGATGATGATGATGATGGCAATACATGTATATCCAGACCAATATAGAGATTTAGATTTCTAAAACTCCATTCATTGTGTTAGACACAGTATTAGAAATTTTCCAATGATTATCATTGGGATTGTCTTGCTTTAGGGAAGGTTAAAATTAAAATCACACTGACTATATTTAGGTTCAGATAGCAAGGATAATATAGTTTAGAATGTACTCCTTTCAGTAAAAAAAGTTAAGGAATACTTTGTACTGATTAGAAGATGCTGAGAATAGTTAGTTGTAGTTTTTAGATTTTCACTGTAGTATTACTAAACTTTTCTTTAATGACCAAGATACAAAAGACTGAAACAGCTCGGCACAAACTTCTGTCGCGCGAGTGGGACTTCACAGAAAACATCTCATTAAATTTAAGTCTTCACTTCTCATGGACTAACCTTGGAGAGATGGAGCAGTAAGGAGCAAGGGCCTATTCCTGAAATAAAGGCACAGAAAATAACTACTAAAAGATGAAGCCTGGGTCATAGGCTGGAAGAGTGGCTACTATTCTCCCAATAATAATGGCATTTTGAGATTAACCTCTGCAGCACCATCTTCCACGAGAGCCTGCGTTGGAGCCCCAAGCCCTGATCTGAGAAAACTAGGACTATCACATCCATAGTTAGTCTTAAGCAATCTGGAGAGAACTGTTACCCATCCAGGAACAAATAATTGGGAAAATGAAATGATTGTCATTGCTGACTTGGCCACCACTTTCCCCTGAAATAGCATTTTATAATGTTGATGTCATGAGGTTCTATTTTCCAGTTTCGTCACACCATTAATTTATTGAAGAGTTGCAAATAATCTTTTCTAATGCCAAAGGAGGCTATACATGAGTCCTGTCATAGGCCTAAAACTTAAGCAGAGAAGGTATTTTAGGGTGTGCAACTGTACTGAAAGAAAAAGTCCCAGTGGACATATGCATGGATCAATACATTTTTCAGAGAATGCGATAATCTCTGTTCAATCTCTGATTGTTCAGGTGGTTTGCTGCTGTTCTTAATGAATCTATTATCCATTAGCCAGGGATTTTCTTAATTAAAGTAAACAAACAAAGAGGCCACCTGCAAAACCCAAACTACCAGTCTACTCAGCTATAACATTGGTTAATGCTGTGTACAGTGACCTATGTCCTTAGTTGGATTGCCAAAAATAAATCTTCATTTAAAAAATTGATCAGATGGTTGGTTTGATCAATTCAGAAAAATGTTACACAATATTTTTTTTTGGGGGGGTGGGTATTTGTAGATGAAATTCCAGTGAACGATGGACTATTTTCAGTTTTAACCATTTTGGGAGGCACCAATGTAGATGCAGTTTAAGACAAAGACACCATGTTAACTTGTATACTGCTACACCTATTCCTCAGGCCCATGTTTAACAAATGAGTTAGTTCTAGACATCATTTAGTTTCCCTTTCATATAGATATAACCTGGTCTCTGAGTTTTAAAGCTTCTATTTATTATATTCCTCTTTGTCTTCAGTTTCAGATATTTTCAAAGATTTCTTTTTATCAATTAAAAAGCTAAAATGATCTTTTAAAAAACAGCTTTTCATTTTAAGAATTTTTTAAAAAAAATCTGCTGAGCACAATCTCTACGTCTTTGCCTGTGTTCTCAGAACCAAGATGTCCTAGTTACAGTATTTTATTATTTGGTTGTGTGATGACTTATTTTTTCCTCATTTTGGTTCATGAAAAGGTATACCTAAGTTGCCTAATATTTAAAAAAACCTGCATTCCTCTTTATTGTTCATTGATGCCTGTATCTTGGTACCCTTCATTAACAAGTCTTTTCTTTATTGGTGATAATCACACCACCTCTCTGCTTCTTCATGTTTGAGGGATGTGGGGAGCAATCAATATTCATGATGGTCTGATAAATCTGAACTTATGGACAATACAGTAATCACCTTAACATCGGGGTAAATGTGTTTCCTTTATCAACTGCTATGTATAGAATATCTACAAAGTTGCCATTCATTCATCCCTTTAGTAATATTTATTATCTAATTTGCATTAGGTGGTTCTATAGTCTTGGGTATAGGGCAGGGAACAAAATATTTGGAACCTAGAAGTGTGCCAAGAGGAATAAACTTAATTGTGAATTAGAATATTAAGTGGTGTGCACCACCTGGAGGCTGGACATGCTTGAAGCTCTGGCATAGCGGGGTGGGGGAGGGGTGGCAGGGGCAAGATATGTAACCATAACAATATTTGTACCCCCACAATATGAGGTAATAAAAAAATACTTTAAAAAGTAAAATTTCATTCATATTAAAAAAAAAAAAAGAATATTAAGTGGTTTAGTCAGGGCAAAAATCTTGTTTTCCCCCCTGGGAAACTTCATGTAATTGCTTCATGTGGGAGGAAAAATATACATCTTGTTTTACAGTAATCGTGAAGAATAAATGGTAAATTATGGAGTTTACATTTCGATTGTCCTATATATTTGCTGATCCTATAAAGTGTAAAATTGGGTAAGTATCTTACCTCATAGAACTTCCAATCTAGTTGGAGGATATGATAAATAGTAACTTTGCTAAACCGCCTTAGTTTCTTCAGTGTAACAAATGACTAACAAGAAGAAAAAAGTTGAAAGAAACACAGGTTCATGTAGCCATCCAAATGCAGTACCCCACTCTGTGTCATTTCAGGACTACGTACAGACATGCTCATTTATGTTACAAATTGGGATATAGTGCCTCTAGGAAATATAGGGTGTCCCAAAAGCACCATCCATAGGGAAAATGGGAAATTGTAGCTAATTGTACCTTTATTTATAAAATATTCATTACAAAATTTTTCCTTTGTATGGAGACTTTTGGGATACCCTGCAATAATGCCCACCATTCTAAGTCCCTTGGTATTACCATTTCATTGACTGAATGACATCTGATACTAATGTTTTGGCTCCTGCACTCTATCACAATCCAGAAAACCTGTCTTTTTGGATATAAGCAATAAAAACAAAACAAATAATTAGGGAAAAAATAAGGCGGCCTATGAAAACAGCACAGGTTGATATTAACACAGTCCCTAGGATTAAAATAAGTAAGCTCCAATCTGGTCAGGGGATTCTGGGATAAATTTAATAGAAACAATGCTATCTAAGCTTAGTGTTAAAACACAGGTAGAATATCTATAGGCAGAAAGAGGGTTGAGAAGGCAGACATAAGAGAAGGATGTGCTCAGAATTTGGTCAGAGACATACAAAGTAGAAAGAACAATTACCCTAAGCCAGATATCATGATGATGGGACAGGGTGCATATTTCAAAACCACAGAATATTGTTTGCTGGACTCAATGAGTGGAATATAGAACATTGTAACTAGTTTAATTCTTTATCTTGGGTAATAATGACTTTCTACTCAAATATCTCACCTAGAATCATACTGGAGGCCCCTCCCCAACTCTTGTAGGGTGAGTACCTTACTTGTTTTCTTTAGGACTGAAAATGTCCTCTGGAAAAGCAAGTTTTCTTTATGTGTGTTTTACATTTTATTCACATTTTAATGTGATATTCAGTTACAACAAACACTGCTTATTGTGTATATATCAAGCATTTTAGGCAGACTTATTTCTAATTTTCAGACTCAAGAGAATAATTTTATCTTTATTTAAATGTTGATGAAATAAAGGTTTACTTAGATTAATGGACTCATCTAAAGCCACAAAACTAGAGTTTTTATTTTAACAGAAGTCTGCTTGATTTAAAAACTCAATCCCATTTTACTTTGGTGGCTCTTAACCACTGGTGCACATTTGAATTATGTGGAGAACTTTTAAAAATGAAATTTATTTAAATTAGTTTTTAGTGAAAGGAAAGCAAATACATAGGTCAAAAGAAATCAAAATAGTGTTAGGCTGGTAGTAAAAAACAAGTAAGCCTTTTCTCTACTCACCCCTGATTTCCTTTCCCCAAAGATAATCACTTTTGACTCTTAGCTGTTTTTCATTTATTTATTTTTTTAAAATACATTTGTCTTTTTTTGACTTTTCTATATTAGGTCTGCTTGACTCCCATCATCACACACACACACATGTATCTCTTCTTGTTCATCCTCCCAATGTTATATAATCATTTCTTGTTAAATCAGTATTCAGTATTTACATAATTATGACTGACTTACATGACTAATATTCAATAGATAAGGTACATACTGTAGTTTTACAATTTTTCTTTCCTGGGGTTCATAATTAACTCAGTATTTTCAAAGTCTTGAAAAATCTACAGATAGCTAATTCATCCCCAGGCTCTCTGAAAAATCTCTAGTCCATATTCAAATACACCAGTTAATCAATTTTTCTTTTTGAGATATCCCATCTGAAATCTCCATCTTTAGGCATACCAGTTGACTTCGTGCTGTTCCTCCCTACTACCCTCCCTCTTTTATATAGTTATATTACTATTCTAGTAAACGTTAAGTTTACCCTGGAAATAACAAAATGTTTTCCCCCCTCAACAATAGTCTGTATCTTTCAATTTCCCCCCTTTTAAGGACACTACGACCACTCAATTTACCTTCCTTTATCTCCCTCAACATTCCTACTTGTATTCCCGACTGTATTTTTAAAACTCCACTGCTAACATTTGCATTCTACTTTGTAACCATAATTGAGTAGTCCCTTAAAAGATAAAAACCATAAACATCATTTGCATTATTACTTGGATGTTATTCACTGAATAGCCAAGCTGTCTGCTAGGACAGGTTTTCCTTTTCTTTGGCTCCAAGGTCTTGATCCACGTGTTGCTCACAGGAACACTGAAATAGAGTTCATCTTCTCGCACTCCTGCCATTTGTTGTAAGTCCTGAAGCAGTCTATGTCTGGTATCTGGAGGATGCTTTTCCTGTACAGTCGTGGGTTTTTTCACTGAGAGTTTCTGATTATCGTCATTTTCTCTTGTGGGATGAAGAAATATGTGCTTTCCATATCACATCCTTAATCCCTTAAACTTCTCTTAGTCCAGTCTTGCTTACAATTCAATCCAATATTCCCAAAGTTTACTGATTTTTTTCCTCAAAACTTTGGCCTTCCTGCTTTTTCCTTTTAAATAATGCATCCTGTACCCTTTGTCACATCCTGAAATTCGTCCGGTGCTTGTTTTAAGGACGCCTAGTTTCTTAAACCTTCCGTGGGTCTTCACTAAGGTTCCCCGCTCCCCGAGCGGCACACGTCCTCGCTCTGGTCGCGGCAGGCTCGCGGCCACCCTCCGGGGAGCTCGGCTAGCAGCGCAGAGCGCAGCCGCGGAGGGCGCCCGGGCACTCTCGCGAGACTGCAGAGCTTGTCGCCCGCAGCCCTGCTCCGCCGCGAGGCTGCCTGGGAGTCGGCCATCATGCTGGCCCCGGAGGCCGGCGGCTTAGTCACGGCTCTAAATGTGTACCTGCAAGCGGATGTTGAGGATCACCGAGCCCGCGATGTAGAAGTACGGGAAGTTCATGCGTAGCTGCCAGGCCAGCTCGAAGAAGGCGAGCAGGGTGCGGGAGAGCCCCTTGCAGAAGACCCCGTACGAGGTGGGGGTTGCGGTCGGGCTCGCGGCCCTGACGGCCAGGAAAGATGGAGCCGCCACTGGGGCCATGGACCCGTTGTCGCTGGCCGCCCAGCGCCTGCAGCCGAGGGTCACCGCAGGCCCTGCGCACCCCCGAGTGACGGCGGGACCGGGGGCAAAGCGGCCGCCGAGCTTGCTTACACCTGCGCCTGCCGCCGCAGCCGCCGCCGCTTCGTGCAATGCGGCGCGCCGGCCCCAGCAGCCTGTGGCGCTCCGCCCCTTCCTGTCGGCTTCTCCTAGCGGTATTTACCATTTAGAGCTTAACCAGTGGTAGGGCTGGAATAGGGTACGTTATATAACGTACACGAACAGCCATGCACATGCTATTTTCACTTTCAGATGAAAAGGCTAACTGAAATTATGTGAATTCCCCTAGAACACGCAGTTTGTAAGGGCCATAGCTGGATTAAAACTCGGGTTTGCCTGCTGTGTAATCTGGGATGTTAGCCAGGAATCTTTACCCTTTGATTTCGTAACATTAGTATTAGGAAAAGTTAATCTGCTTACATAAGTCAGAACAGGCACAAAGACTCTGTATTCATAATATACCATACCTGTAAAGGATCACTATCTTAGACTATGGGTTTTTCTGTGTGTTATAACTATTCAAATTGCATGTGACAGAAACTAAGCAAAAAAAAAAAAAAAAAAAAAAGTACACATACACACAAACACACTTTTATTTTTTACATAATCCCACCTATGTAAACCCATAACAAGTTCAGATTAGCTGTGGAAGCTTCAGTCATTTCTACATGAAGCTGCACTTGTGAAACCTGTGGCTAGGCAGATATTACTGTCTACTTTCAAGCGGTTAATACGCCTTAGAGTAACATCACGATTGCTCTCCCATAGCCACAATAATTTTCTGATATTTAAATGATGCACATTTCCTTACCTTCACTAATCTTCCATTTTAACTAGAAAGCTCTGTATTTTTCATTATATACACCCTCTACATGGATTATTCAAATGTGTGATTTCTGATCATAACCTTCAGATTACAGTCTGGTTCTAAATAGCAGTTTTCAAATCTCTCACATTTCACCCTGCACTGCATATCTCTAGTACTATTCAAAGCACAGTTATTTATATTAAAGTAGCTCTGTTTCTATTTATCCTACTGATATGACTGATACAAATAAAATGCCATTGTGAAATTTCTAAAATGTAATTGTGTGTTCCCTGTTAGAATTTCTTTTGCTATGTTGCTTTTTACTAATACCACCACAGCAATGAGACAGCAATTAGAGAAACTATTAATAATTACTTATGACAGCTTCTAAAATAGTGGTATAGAAACTGAAGAGCTGACTAAGGTGAATAACCATCACCTCTAAGAACCAGGAGATATATAGTTTCAGTACGCATGTATAATTTACTCTCATTGAAAATCGAAAGAATAATACATAGAGCCATTCAAGGGCACAGGAGTCATTAAGTCCCTGAATTTGTGTATTCATTCTCTCTTTCACTCTTTCCTTGTGCCCCGTCCCCATCTCCCCATCTGCCTCAGCTCTGGTTAACTCCATGTAAACCCTGTTTTCCACTCTGAGCCCATGTGGAAAATAGCAGCCACCCACTGATAACATGGCCAGATTGAGGTCCTATTCTAATGGGAAGGGATAGGCAAAGAAGTCACAAAGCTCTAATCAGGGGTCCTCAAACTTTTTAAGCAGGGGGCCAGTTCACTGTCTCTCAGATCTTTGGAGGGCTGTTAGGGAGTGCGGTGCACATTCCATACATGCACACTGTGGGTTTGGGATTAGTTGGCTGCTAAGCAGGACAGGCAACAGCGGCAAAAACACCCTGCAGGCCAGATAAATGTCCTTGGTGGGCCGCATGTGGCCTATGGGCCATAGTTTGAGAACCCCAAATCTTACTCATTAATGCTCTGGAGCTGATGAATGATTATCAGGTGATCCTGATAAAGGAGAGTGGGATAAGACCAATATGTTAGTTGTAGTTTTTATTCTGTCTCTTGATCTTTAGATTTGAATGACTAATCTACACTTCTTACCAGCAGCACATATGAACAAGTTATCGACAATAAAACATCTTAAGCCGTTTCTCTCCATGGTACATCGTTGATTCTTGGCATTACTTTCCTGATCTTTCTTATTTCCCTATTTTTGACTTTATATTCCAGTTTAAATACATTTTAAAGGTTTGTTTGGCTTGATGAACTTTGGAAAAAGTTTTAAGGTAAGCTACAGTAGGTCTGCAAAGTACCATATTGCCAAATTTTCAATTCCTTTTTTTGAGAGTTTGGCAATGTAAGTGTTCTATTATGTGTAAGAGATGCATTCAGAATGCAAGGATTGGACCCAAATGATCCAAGCCTAAAGGTAAGAGGAAAATTGCAAATCAGTGAGTTTATCCAGCATATGCATGCTAACAAATTGAGTTCAACCTTTCAATCATCACCACACACAGAAACTGTTTGAGGTTTAGTGGAAAAATACACAGGTTTAGTAAAATTCTTTGAAAGTAAAACACATTGTATCAAATAATCCCAATGACTAGGTTTATGGCAATACTGAGCAATTTCTACATCAAGAGTGTACAGCCAAGAATCATATGTATTACATTGAAGCAGAAAATCACTTGCAACATGAGAGATTAAGATTTTTCTCTCTGTGTTTATAAGGAGAGTGAGGGCAGGGAATCCACTGTAACTTGGTCCCTGCTCTGATATCAGGCAAAAGCTGATTTGTGCTAGGGGAAAGGGAAGGACACCTGAATCTGCACTGATACTTGTTAGAGGCCTGTTGACAGGAGAAGGACAGAAAACTTGCTCTGGGTCCCACACTGACAGTAGACAGAAGCTATGTACCACTTAGGAAGGGCACAAAACCTACCCACTCTGGACTCTGCATGGACACTGAGCAAAAGCCATGTGTTGCCGGAGGGAGCCAGTTAAGCTGATGATACCCAAACCCTCCACTGATACAAGACATTGGTTGGCTGACATTCAGGGAGGGACAGAAAGGTTGCTTGCCTTGGACTCCCATACTGATACTAGGTAAAAGCCATCTGTTACCACTGGCGGAGGAAAAGGAAATCAGCTTCCAACTGGACCCTGCACTGATTCTTGGAAGAAGTTTTTTTGCTGTTTGGGGAGCAATAGCAGCACTAAGAAAGCCCCACATCTGTGGCAAAGGTATATAGCTTACCGTACGGGCAGATGCTGGAGGAAGAGAACAAAGAAACCCCATTGCTCTAACTTGAACTTTACTGTAACAAGCAATATCAGCAAATCATTGGGAGGTTATTAAGAGTGTGGAAAGAGATCTTTCTCTATATTGCATGTGTGGACTCCTGAAGCTGAGCATGAACACTGTGAACTTTGGCACTTCAGTCCTCACCTACACGCAAGGTAGTGGCATTCCACCGCTGGAGCAATTTAATCTAAGTGCAGACAAGCTACAGATTGGATGGACTCAACTTCACACACTAATGATCTGGCAGAATAAAAGGCAGGCACATTTCTGGGTGGTAATATTTACCTCAGAATTTACATATGTATGCACGCATGCAAAACACCAGCCATTGCTAAGAGAAAACTGGTGCAGAGGTTGAAATGATCAGAGACTTTCAAAGTAATTATGATTAATATGTTAAAAATCTGGTGGAAAAGGTAAATAACATGCACAAATAGAAAATCTTAGTAGAGAGATGGGAACAAAAAGCTAGAAATGAAAAACTATGTTGCAGATGAAAGATTCCTGTGACAGTTTATCAACAGACTGAACAAAGAAGCAGTGATATTGCCAGGTGCAGTGGCTCACGCCTATAATCCCAGGAACTCAGGCTGAGGTGAGAGGATTGCTGGAGGCCAGGAGTTTGAGACCAGATTGGGCAACATAGGAGACCCTGTCTTTAAAAAACCGAAAAAGAGTCAGCTGAGTGTGGTGGCACACACATGTGGTCCCAGCTGCTAGAGAGACTGAGGTGGGAGGATTGCTTGAGCCCAGGAGTTCCAAGCTGCAGTGAACTATGATTGCACCACTGTATTACAGCCTGGGTAACATCCCTAAAAAAAACAGAATCAGTGATATCAAAGGTTGGTTAATAGGAGTTACTCAAAGTGAAACAAAGAGAGAAAAATGAAAATTAGGGAGTGATGGAGAGAGAAAATTGGAAAAGCCTGAAAATGCTAATTACTGGTGAGGATGAGGGGCAGCTGGAATCCTTGTACATTTCTGGTGGTGATGCAAAATGGAATAGCCTATCTGGATAAGAGTTGAGTAGTTTCTTGTAAAGTTAATAACACTGTTAGACTTAGTTTTGAATAGAAATGAAAACATATCCATATAATTGAATACCACTCAGCAATGAAAAATAATAAACTACTTTTACATGTGACAACATAGATGAATCTACAAGCATTCTGCTAAAGAAAACAGACACAAACACGATGCCATTTATATAATATTCTAGAGAGAGGAAAATATGACAGAAAACACATCAGTAATGATCATGGCCTGAGGGAAGAATGCACTACAAAGAGGCGAGGGAACATCAAAGAATGTTTTTGGGGTGATGGAAATGTTCTATATCTTGATTGTGGTAGCTACTGTACTCTGATTTGCCACAAGTAGTCAAACTGTACAATTAAAATGGACCGTTTTTCATGTAATTTATGTAAATTATATGTCAGTAAAGCTGATACACAAGAGAAAGAGGCATACTTTTTTTTTTCTTTTAGGGAGAAGCCTCAGTCCAGATTAGGTAGAAAACAAAAGACATTCAAGGTGTTAAGAATTGGAAGAAGTTGAATTAGGAATTAGAAGCTATCCAAATATTCGAAGGCTTTGGAGGAAGTCAGAGTGTGTAGAAGAGGAATTGGCTGAAGTGATCATGGAGGCTGAGAAGTCCCATGATATAGCCAGTGCTGTAACTATCAGTCTGAGGTCAAAGGCCCGAGAGTTAGGGGGGCACTGATGTAAGTCTAGGAGTCTGAAGGCCCAAGAACCAGGAGCTCTTATGTACAAGGGCAGGAGAAGATGGATGTCCTAACTCAAGAAGATAGAGCAAATATGCCTTTTCTCTACCTCTTTGTTCTGTTGGGGCCCTCAGCAGATCAGCTGAATCCTTCCCACATTGGTGAAGGCAGATCTTCTTTACACAGTCTACTGATTCCAGTGCCCATCTCTTCTAGAAACATATTTACAGACACAGCCACAAATAATATTTTACCAGTTATTTGGATTTTTTTTTTAACCCAGTCAAGTTGACA